GATAAATATTTTAATAATAAATATTTTAATAATATTATTTTAAGCTACTAATTTTTTTATTGTCGAATAATAGGAAGTAAATATGAACTCAGTAGAACGCTTAATTCACTACAGTGAAAATTTGGAAGTAGAAGCTAAGAATATAATACCAGACAACAGACCGCCACCTGGGTGGCCAGCTCGTGGAGAAGTTCACATTAAAAATTTGGAAATTAAATATGGACCTAATAGTCCTCTAGTTTTGAAAGGCATCTCAATTGATATTATGGCTGCTGAAAAAATTGGAATCGTTGGTCGAACTGGTAAATTTTAGGTCTCAGTTTGAGAATTATTGTCATACAATATTGATTTCTTTTAAACAATAGGATGTGGGAAATCAACGTTAGCAAAGTCATTTTTTAGACTTATTGAAGCAACTTCTGGAAGTATTGTAATTGATGATATTGATATCAGTACTATTGGATTAAAAGACTTTAGAAGTAATATTACTATCATACCTCAAGATCCTGTACTATTTAATGGTACTATAAGGTAAACAAACATCTCGATTCTAAATATTTATTATTAAAACCCTTCTGTAAACTAGTTATTAGAATCTCTTTTTTTTAAAAAAAAAAAAAAAAAAAAATAGAAGCAACTTGGACCCATTCAACAAGCATAGCGATCTCGAGTTATGGAATGCACTTCATCGTGTACACCTAATTGAAAATTCCAACCATACTTTTGAAAATAAAAAATCAGAAACCATCCTTTCTATTTCAGACCAAAGAAATGACCAAGAACCATTAATACTAGACTCATCAGTCAAAGAAAATGGATCAAATTTTTCTCAAGGCCAACAACAACTGATTGCAATGGCCAGAGCACTAGTTCGTCATTCCAAATTGATAATAATGGATGAAGCTACAGCCAGTGTAGACTTCAAAACTGATCATCTAGTACAGGCTACAATTAGGGAGGAGTTTAAAGATCATACTGTTATCACTATTGCGCATAGGTTGCGAACTATTGTAGACTATAATAGAATTCTGGTTATGGGTATATATTTTTTTCAAAGAAAAATTTTAATGAACTTGAAATGTTAATCCTTCTTTCCAAAATGTAATTGAATTCGATATACCATATCTACTGATGCAGAAGTCTGATGGATTGTTTAGAAAAAAAGTGGCGAATTTGCAGAATTAATGGGAATTGCTAAGCAGAAATATGAGAATATATCGTTGAAACGGAGTTACATTGTCGTGCCGCAAAAGAATTTGGAATCCCGTGATATCCTAGCTAATCGATCTAAAAAACAGGTTGTTGCTAATGCTTAAATAAACTGATTCTTGCATTAACAGCAATACTTTATATCGTCGAAATTACGTTTTTAACTTAGTAATGAATATTCTAAAAATGAAGTTAAATATATAAAATCATTGAATAAACATTGTCTTTAAATTAAATGCCAAAATCTTCGAAATTAAATATGTAAAATTGAGAAATTACCAAAATAAATAAATTTATGTAATATAATTTAAATTGAATGCTAATATCTTCGAAATTAAAGAGTTTAATTTTTTTATTAAAATTTACTGTGCAGGTACCTCACAATTTATAAAATTCTATGTGCGGCCACTACAAAAAATAACTACGAGAAACTGTTTGCAACTGTACGCATTATTTACAAAATAATTTTTTCTGTGCGGCATCTGCACATCTATTCAAAAAAAAAACGCGCGAAATTTGTTTCAGTGTGCTGCGCACAATCCGCACAGTGAAAAATAATCTCTGAATACTCGTATTGGCATATATTGCAATTGGGATATTTGGATCAATCCAAAGTATTCCAATAAAAATTTAGACTAGATTTAATTAAAATTAGCACATCCATATTGGCTAATAGAAAATGAAATCGAAATAAAAAAAATTTAAAGGTTATTCATCTA